CCCTCCCTCCCTCTCTCTCCCTCTCTCTCTCCCCCCTCTCTCAGAGGAGGAATTTAAATCCCACACATGAGCAAGAGGAGGAAAGAACATACCACTGCCATAAGTTTGTCTGTCATACTTATGTTTTTATAGCATTCAACCCCACACACCCTCTGCCCCATGTTTTAAAGCAAGCAGATGTGTAGTGGCCTCTCCCTTTGGCTCCGGTAGCCCTTCTCTCCTGTGTTAGCTAAACATTAGTCAATACATAAACTGGAACTTATAAATAATCATATATTTATATTCCTGCTGGTTACCACGGGGATTAAAGAAATCCTAGCCAAACATAATTTCAAACAGAAAACATAGATTGGAAGTATATTTCAAAAAAGTGGGCAAAGGAAAAACAAGTAGAGAAATTACAGAGGGAGGGAGTTAAAACATACAATGCTCAGTCCCCAGAGATCTGGCTGCTGGTTTTAAAAATGATCGTAATTGTGTGTGAGTCACTATCCAAAGAGTAAAAGCCAAACGATCAGCTTTTCAGAGGAAGCCTAACTTTTTCTGTCAAATAAAAAATAATTTTCCCAATAGCAAAGAGCATCCTATGACGTTTTATGACCAATACCCTTTCCGTAAGTTTGGGACTGTCATTCATAGGATAGACAAGTGGCCTCAAACCTCTCCTCTTCTTTGAGACATTTATTGTCATATTGGAGTGATCAGCTCCAAACAACACAGCTCAATAATAATATTAATTAAACTGTTAACTTGTATAGTAGGTGTAATTACTGATTTCAGTTTGCTGTGAGAAAACTGAGGATGGCTGGTTAGTTGAGTGTATGGATGATGGTTGGTTGGCTGGTGGGATGGATGGCAGTTTGCCTAGTTGTGTGGTTGGTTGGTTGATTGGCTGGCTGGCTCATTGGGTGGGTTGCTGGTTGGTTGGTTGACTAGTTGGTTACTAGTTGGTTGTTTGGATGATAGATGGATAGTTGGTTAAACAGTTTGATTAATAAAGCCAAAGGCAGTAATTTCCAATATATGTTTGTTGTCCAGCGACTGATTTCATAGGTGGTACAGCATGACCGTTAAGGGTGCAGGCTACAGAGTTCAGATAGATTCAAACTGCGACTCTGACAGTAATGAGCTACGAGACCTTGGGCATATTGTGAAGCCTCTGTGCCTCAGTTTCCTCAGCTATGCAGTGGGGATAGTAATATCCACTTCACAGAGTAATGGTGAGGAATGAATGAGATGATGTATGAGAAATGCATCGCATAGCTCCTGGCGACTGCTGAGCATTCAGTAAATGTCACCTATAAACCCAAAAAGTCTACTTGACTCTAAAACCTCAGGCAGCAGGGGCACTTTAGGCAGCTTACAACCTCTCCTGGGCACTGTAAGTACAAGTAAGATGCTTTCTCACTGATGATCACCTTTAGCAGACGTTGGGATAAACCTCCATTCAAATGTCATTGAAAGGCCACATAGTTTGAAAATTAAGCATTGCTCTGATTTCTGGCCCTTATCTGATGCCCGAATGCCCTCATTTGGCACCTTGAGACTATCATTCATTTCCCATTTTGACTCTAAGTTTTGGCTTCAGGAGACCAACGGACATAGTTATAAATGGAAAAGCCAACCCTGCCTTCCCTTTGAGGCCCCTTTTCCAACCTTTTGGCAGACTCTTTCCATGTGTCCTCCTCTTTCAATAACTTTTAATTAAGCCTTTGAGACCATGTCCCTCCTCTCTCCCAATTGCCCTCAAGTGATCAGGTCCCGTTACAAACAGCTGTGAGGGCTCCTTAAGTACATGTGCTTATGGCTTCTTCTCTGCACTGAAGACCTGGCCCAACTCCCTTGGATCCCTCACCCACGCTTCCCTGGGACCCACTCCCACCCCTCTGTCTCATCCATCAGTTGACTCCATAGGCCTTCGATGAGTGCCCTGGACTGGTGGGTGGAGTTGGCATGGCCAGATGTCATCCCATCTTGTAGCATTACATTTTTGGTTGGTCCAGGCAATGCCTGAGCCGTGTGCCTTGGAGGGGTTGCCACTGAGCCTGACTGACAACTTTTAAGGAGCTCCATTCCGCTGAGGTGGGTGTTAGCTTCAGAGCACAGAGACAATATTCATACTCATTCATTCAAGACATGTTTACTGAGCCCACCTATGTGCCTGGTACCCCTCAACCCCTGGGAGTCAATGGGAGTCAGAGTCAGAAATGGTTCTTTGTCCCCCAGGAGCTCACAGGTTGGCAGGGGAGAGAGCTCATGTGGTGATCAACTGTGATAAGTGCTGTGAATTAAATTAAATTAACAGGGGGTGGTCAGGGAAGGCTTCTCTGAGGAGTAACATTTAAGTCAACTGGAGATGAAGAGATGACCTTGAAGACAATGCTCAGAGCATGAGGAACCTTTACAGGCAGAGATCACCACAGGCAAGTGCTGAGTGGCAAAGGTCAGTGTGATCTATGGAAACAGGTCAGCATTCAGACAGCAGGGAAGGAGGGCAGTGCCACCTCTGGTGTGTCTCAGACAGGGGAACCATTGTCTCCCCACTGCTCTCATTCTCTTCTCCCACTCACCTTTCCACCGTCTCCTGATGGAAGCACAGGATTTTGCAAACACAGTGGGACATGAGGAGTTTCTGTCCTGCTGAGGCATTCAGGGGAGCTGTGAGGGCAGCGAGAGGGTAGAAAATTTCAGATTCAAAATCACCTGCCACTCTCTCTTGTTCCAAAGGAATAGTCCTGATTAGACTTTGTAAGGCCTTGTAGACATTTCCCCTGGAATTTGAAAGACCTCCTTGAAGCATGACAAGCTGCGGGAAGAGCTAAATCAAGTAGCCAGGTGCCTCCATCTCTGGACCCAGCCAGCCCAGCCAGGG